CAGCTCTACAACAGGGATCTTAAGAGTTCATCACATACTCTCTAAAAAATATGCTTTTAGGAACTTACAAGTAACCCAAACTCAGAAACTTTGGTTAACTCTCTGTTCTGTATAACTCCCCACAAAACAGAACTAAGAAGGGCTCTTTAGGTACTTGTTACAAAGAGCTTTTAATACTAAACCTTAAGCTTACAGAGAAAAAAAATGTGACAATGAATATATGTATGTTCATGTATAACTGAAAAATTGTGCTCTACACTGGAATTTGACACAACATTGTAAAATGACTATTACTCAATAAAAAAATGTTAAAAAATACTAAACCATAAGATTTATTCACTCAATGAATTTTTACATTCTTATACACAATTACCAGACAAAAATGAATTTTCGTAATATCTACCATTATACAAGACAATTTGTTGACATGCTATCAATGTACTTCACTAAAAAAACCATAAAAACATCAAGTTGTTAGGTATTTCAAAATAACTTTTAATAGAAAAAAAAACAGATTCAAGATAGTACTTTGATTTCAAAAGTGATGATGAATTTGTTTTAAAACCGATGAGTAATGGCTTAAGATGGCAAAAATGAAGTATAGGTTAGAATCAGGTAGTATAAATAAACAAACCAATGAGCAGAATGGCAAACTGAAAAGTGGTAAAAGGCAGGGAACTATACTTTTAGATATTTAAAGAGCTGTGCATTGTCTAAAAGAACATAAAATAAGGCAAAGGGTAAGGAAAGACAGGCATCAAATCCTGCATTAGACTCAGAAAGAATAGTATAGAACAATTAAAAATGATCAAATCAAATGAAGTATACTATTTTCATTATAAATATGAAATGTATTTTAAAAATAAATATTAAAAAGTCCTTATTTCTGGACAATTTCTACCCTCCTCCCCTTTTTAGGGGTGGAGGGAAAAGAGAAGCTATACAATGCATTTAAAAGAATACTTGTTACATTTTATTGAACACTTCCAGATGTCTGAAGTAGGGAGATTTTCAGGTTAACCAATGACCACATATTAACAGAATAGGAAGATGTCATTTATCTTTCCAAACTGTAAATTGGATGTTAACTCTCTTGCATAATCTCCTTCGATGGCACTTCCTCACCTTTATAATAGTTAAAGTTCTTGGTATGACAGTCAAGCCATTTCAAAAGCTGACTATATTTTCAGATCTTCTCTGTACACATTCCCTTTATACAACTTTTTAGCAATTCTGACCTCTTTACAGTTATTCAAATAAGTCGTTCTTTCCTTCTGTTGCTTTTTGTATGCTATTCCCTCTGCCTAAGATGCTTTCTTGAGACCCCTTTTGTCCATTTGGCCAACTGTTATTTTCCTTAAAGATAGGGCAAATGTCACTTTTTCTTTGAATAGTTTTTTCCTGACATAATCACTCTGTGATTACTTCCCACTATGCTCCCATGACACCCTATGCATATCTCTAATGGTTCTTTTTACACTGTGATACAACTGTCAGTCTCCCTACCTTTCCCCTCCTACATACACTGTGTTCTTGAATGGCAGGAACTGTGTCATAGTTTTCTTTGAAGCCCTTGCAGCTGGCACAGAATACCTCAGCAGAAACTTAGTAAATTCATGAAAAAAAATATTAGCAATTTGTCTATCCAAGCAGTATGCTATATGTAGAAAAAAGTACTATATTGAGCTCTGCCCATAACTAGTTATAACTCACAAATTCTGAGTCTCCAGTAAAATATGGGGATTATTTAGATATCTAATGTTCCCTGCGATCCTTTAACTTGGTTTTTGTTTCTATAATTTCTTGACATGTTATAAAACTATTAATGCTTATTAACTTACACTGAATTTATCTTAATTCTTTAGGTTTTACTATAGAGGTTTGTTTTATTAACATGGTGGCTATGAAGAGAAAAGAAAAGCTTTCCTAACTTGATGCCTTAGGGACCCTATTTTTTATCACAGTTTCATAGGTATATGATTTTCCTCCCTTAAGACTTTCTCTTTCTCATATGTTGCCCCCACTTCTATTTATACTTTTACTTTTCACCTAGCTCAAGAATTAGGTCAAGAAGATGATTTCCATGTGATAGAAACTAATGAGGGCAAAGAGCAAGAAAAGCGAGGAAAGGATGAGCTCTAGCAGTCCTTAGTCTTTTCTCCTCCTGTCTTCTCTTGCTTGGAGTGAGGGCACATTGGGCTTTACAAAGACTTCAAGCCCAGTCTTTTGTTCACTATTACCTTCCATCTATATCTCAATTTTAAAATTTTGAAAAAACAAAAATATAAAGAGGGGAGAGTTTTTACTTTCTGTATGGCTCCCTCTAAATTTTCCTGTGTTTTTAAAACTCTGTCCGGCAGTAACTTTAAAACTGTCCCCACTCTTACAATCTAACAAAGCAAAGGGTATGTCCCTGCCTAAAAATATCTTCATATGGTAGTCAATTCCTACTACTAGGATATCATTAGTACCACAGACACATTATAAACTAGATAGGTTTTTTGGTCCTGACTGAACTGCTACATAAAAAAATCAATTTAATTGATTTTATGAGAGAGGGGGTTTACAAATTACAGTTACAAACTGACTTTTAAAATGTAAGTTATTAGGGGGAGGGTATAGTTCAGTAGTAGAGTGCGTGCTTAGCATGCATGAGGTCCTGGGTGCAATTCCTAAAGACCTCCATTTAAATAAGATTAAAAAAAAACTAATTACCTCTCCTTGCCAAAAAAATTAAAAAAAAATAAACATAAGTTATTTAAAATTCAAAGTCTGGTATCCAAAGTCAACCATCAGTTTTTGCACTTTAAGTCACACTAAAACAATAAATGAGAATCCCCATTAGCAGACATGTTTGAAAAGATGAATGTTATATTACCTAAAATGCTTCCATCATATGAATTTTCTCTACACTTACTGTGGTAATTATTTCATGATGTATCTAAGTCAAATCGTTACACTGTATACCTTAAACTTACAGAGTGCTATATGCCAATTATATCTCAATAAAACTGGAAGAAAAAAATGCTTCCATCAAAACAGTATGTAATGAAAATAATTTGAAAAGAGATGTACAAATAAACCTAAGGTATGTGTTCTATTAAAAACTTACATTCTAAGAGGTACCAAGTATAAAAATAAAATTATTTTTATGAAAACCTAATTGACATGTAAAGACCGGCGAAGTTTATTATACTGCTTATAAATTCTACTACCTGGTTTCTTTGAAGTCCATAATACGTGGACCCTTCCAAATAACTTCATTATTTGTGAACTTACCAAATAACTGCTGCTCAAAAGACTTAAATTAACTTAGAGAAAGTGCTAGCTCTAAGATGTATGTAAGGTTTAGATGGCAAAAGTTTTAATTGTAATTATTGGGCCAACTGCTTCTCTAGAAAGCGTTAGGTCTATTTCTTCTTTGATTAAATCGATTTGACAGCCCAGGTTAAATAGGGAGTGAGGGATAATCTTGGCTGACATCAATCATCTTGGAGTAATTTCTAGGGTCCACTTCCACTCTTAGAGTATCCTGGTTTGGACAATAAAGCATATGGTCACTCTACTTCTAACATGCTCTTTTCAAATGAAAGCAAAAACTATTAGGTACCCAATATGCAAAAGGCCAAGAACTGAAGGGAATACAAAGAAATGTAAGAAATGGCATCTGCCCATAAAGTGCTTAAAACTTAGTTGGAGAGACTGAATAAACATACTAAGCTAAACATACAAAATTTATTTTAATTAATTAATTAATTAATTTATTTATTTATATTGAGTTATAGCCAGTTTACAATGTTGTGTCAATTTCCAGTGTAGAGCACAACTTTTCAGTCATACACAAACATACATATATTCATTGCTGCATTCTTTTTCACTGTGAGCTACCACAAGATTTTGTATATATTTCCCTGTGCTATACAGTATAATCTTGTTTATCTATTCTACATACGCCTGTTAGTATCTACAAATTTCAAACTCCCAGTCTGTCTCTTCCCATCCCACTAAACATACAAAATTTAAATAGCTTTAAAAATATTAACTAGAAGAAGTATTACAAGAAGTGTTTTGGGGTTTTATGAGATGGGTTCATTTTCTATTAAACACCATCACAGCATCCGTCGTCACCATCTACTGAATGCATCATACGTGCCAGGTCTAGTTTAGAGTACTTTATATGCATATTAATTAACCCTCATAACTATCCTATGAGGTGTGCTATTATTAACAGGGATAGGAAACTTACAGATGAGAAACATGTATGACGAAGTTAAATAACCCCTATGCATGCAAAAGTTTACACACCTAATAAGTGGCAGAGTTGAGATTTAAATCTAGGTTCTCTAATTCCAAAGCTGGTGACCTTTTTATTGTTCTTATCTTTGCATAGGGTAGTGGTTCTCAACTGGGGGTAGTTTTTGCTTCCCAGGGAACCTTTGGTGATACCTGGAGACATTCTTGTTTGGCACAAATGTGGGGAGGGGGTTGGCTAACAGACTGGAAGGGATGCTTACTAAAGACTTTACAAAAAACCTTTAAAAAGATAAGATCTGAGCGCAGTCTGGAAGCATCTGTATAGGCTGGAAGTGATAGAAATATGGGTAAATTCTAGATAAGAAGAATAGTACAGAAAGTATAAGAAAGGTTCAGAGACAGTGGAACAAGCGAACTTAGCAAGACTGAAGGGAAACAGTATTGAAAGGAAAGTGGGAACCAAGACAAGAAAGATGAAATGATCTTCCAAAAAGACTAATGAGCCTAAACTGAATTCACTGAAGATTTCCAAGCAGAAAAGTGACATCAACAATATAGTAAGATTAATCAAGAAATCAGGGCAGAGACTAATTAGGATGCTACTGCAATAGTTAAGCCATAAGGTATTCAGAGTTTGTGCCTTGGTGTGGTGGTAGAGGGAATGAAAGGAAGAAACCACAAGCATACACTTTAAGGCATCATGAATTTTAGTCTTTTCTCAAATGATAATAAATTATCATTCTTACCTGCAATGCACTGAAATTGTCCATCTTCTCTTCTTATTGTAAATGCTTCCCCTGGGTTAACTTGTACCAGAATAACCTTAAAATGAGGGGAAGAAATATTAATCAAAAGAATAATAGAATAAATCAGTTCATCAACACATTAAATGTGAGTAATGTGAGCTATTCAATTATATGAAACTGGGAAGGAAAATGGGGATTACACATTTGTTTAAAAAAGTATTACTTCACTTTTCTGGAGGTCAGACTTAAGCCAAAAGTAAAGGAATAAAAAAAAAGAGAGGACTTTATTGGAAAGTCAGTAAACTTCACCCTGAAACAAGGATGGAGGCATATCACAGAATAACTGGATCATCTATGCTTACTTCATCAGTTATCAAGTATTGTGTTTTCCTAAAAGTATAAGTTGATAGTAAAGCATGAGAAGAGCACACCTGAATTAGTCTGACACCTCAAGTTATACACGAAAATGTTAAATTAATCCCATAATTGTGAGTAGTTTTCTTTTCATTATAGAGGTAATACACACTAATTTTCTGACATCTGAAAAACAGAAACACAAAACACTGGAATAAATCTGAAGTTCTTCTACCTTAATACTCATTGTTAACATTCTGATAAATTTCTTAGACTTGTTCTCTATGCATAGGCTTAGTTTTCCCCCTTATATTTAAGGGGGAAAATAAGACCTCCAATTTTCTATCTTTTTTTGGTTTAATATTATAAAAAAGACTTTTCCATGTTATTACTCAAAGTATGTCATCAAATGACTGACTATGCCATAAACTACTTAACCATTCTCTTAATTAAGAAATTCAGGAAGTTCTCCATTTTTCCATGATTATACACAGCGCCAAAGTGAGCACTCTGGTATGCAGTTTTCCCCTCTCTATAATTAGCACTGTTTCCTTATGATATATTATTCCCAGAAACAGAAATAGTGTCTGTTGCTAAAGTGCTTTTTAAAGGGGTTTTATGAATTCTCAAACACCCTTTAACCACATTCTCTGCAATCCTAGAAATTGTAGTTTTAAAATCTCTGCTACCTTGATAGATGAAAATCATACATTACTATTGTTTTAATTTGCACTTCTTTGATTATTAGTGCAGTTAAACGCTACCTTTACATTTGCTACTAGCTTTTTCATAAACTGGCTGTTTGTCACCTTACCCTTTATCTTTTGGGGTCTTACATGTTCTTAGCAATTCATATAAATTCTTTGCATCATCATCATCAAAAACAACTATATTATACTGCAAATATTCTCCCATTTTGTCTTCTCAAGTTTTTAATACAACTGTTTATTTTTCCTGTAGCTGATATTCCCTATTTTTTCCTTTGTGACATTCTCTATTGCTTTTAAATTTAATCTGTGGTTGGTTATTAGCACTTGAAATGTGGCTTGTTTTTGTCTATATGGACATTGCTGTAAGTGTAAAGTATACACTGGCTTTCAAAGACAGTACAAAAAACTCAACAATGCAAAATATTTTCTCAATAATTTTTATATTGATTACATATTGAAATAATATTTTGAACATATTGGGTTAAATAAAACATCATTACAATTAATTTATCCTGTGTTTACTTTTCTTAATGTGGCTAAATTTTTTAAAATTACTTATGTGATTGGCATTATATTTCCATCAGACAATGCTGACCTAGAGGTTTTGATAAAAATGCTAGGTTCTCTTTTCTTCTAGTTTTATATAATTTATTGCTTATATTTAGTTCTTTAATGCACCTAAAGTTTATCTGGAGAAGACCCAAAAATATTTCTTTCCCCAGAGAGCTAACCAATACAATTTACTAAATTTAAGACACCTTCCTTAGCACACAAAATATTCTTCTGATCTGAAATATGTTTTTATTTTAATCATTTTAAATACTGTAACTTTAGAAACATGTTTTCTGATGGTGTATCTCAATTACTACTCTTCTTCAAACATTTCTTTGATATTGACTGGTGGTAAGTGCTATGAGAGAAGTTAAGTACTATCAGAGCACATAGGACCAAGTATCTTAGTCTGTTACCTGAGCATGTGTGTATACATGTGTGTGCAAGTGTGTGTTTGTGTTTAATGGCTTTCTAGAGAATGTAAACTTTAAGCTGAGTTCTGAAGCCTGAGCAGGAACTAGCTAGGCAAGAAGAAAGGGAAGGCCTTTAAGGTACAGAGAAGAACAAATACAAAGCTCCAGGAGAGGAAATCTCATCAACGGTTTATCATATTCAGTGCACCAAAAGAAGTTCTTTAGTTCTATAAAGTTGGAGAGTAGGGCAGGAGGAGATTAACGGTTGGGGAAAAAGGGTTACAAGAAAAAGGTGAGAAACGTGGGGAAAAGTAGTCAGAAGTCGGGTTATGAAGGGTCTTGTGAGCAAGTAGTGCTATGGAGGATCATCCTGGCTGCAGTGTAGAAACCAGATACAGGAAGACCTGTCAGGAGGTTACAGTAGTCATCTAAGTAGGTTTCTTTTAATGCATTAATTTCTATTCTCAACTTGTATTATCCCCTTTCTTTTGTTTTCTGTAGGCTTACCATGTTGTTTCTAACCTTTTCAGTTGAATAACCTATTTTATTCTTTCTTTAGTAATATGTGCACTTCAAGCTAAGAATTTTACTCAGTTTAACTATAATAGAATGCTTTCGATATCGTTTTTTAAATTTTCTGCTATTTTCTTCTTGATTACCACTGTGATCCAATAGTTGTTTAAAGAAACTTACAATTTTGAAAGTGGGCTGAAGGATCTTCAGTTTGCTTTTATTTCGAAAACATTTTTTTTAAATCAATCTCAAACAAATCCATGGTCCTTTAAAACTTCTTTAACCCAACTTGTTTCTTTAACTCCTTTCCTTATTAGTGTTAGAATTTGGTAGAGGTAGTGAATTACTAAAGGATGTTACCTGAGGCCAGCACTGGTTTAAGGCAAGGAGTTTTTAACCTGGGGGCCATAGACATCCACTCAAAGGGTTTGTGAACCACCCAGAATTGTACATAAAACTTTCTGTAGATATAACAGTCTTCTAGGAAAGGATTCACTATTTTCATTAGATTTCATTAAATTCTTAATGGGGTCCAAGACCCAATGTACTGCTTGCTGTGTCACACCATGCTGTGTGCTTTACATACATGTTATCTCTTTCAATTATGATCATCTATCAGTACTGGTTGTTCTATAGAGCCCTATAAAATACTAGTAATTCCTTCACTACACTACTGTAGTGAATGAATTCATTCACTACAAACTTGGGGAAAAGAAATCAAACTAAGGAAACCAAACAGCATACACACAACTAAGATATCCTGGTATTAACTAAGAAAGGATAAACAAGCTCTTTTAAACTATAATAAGATGCTCAGGAAAATGGCAGGAGGTTAAGTTTATTCATTCATCTAAAAATCATTTATTAAACACCCACTGTGTGACACCTACTCTTGTACGTACTGAGGACACTAAGAAGAAAAATAAATCACAGTCCCAGTCCAAGGCCTCAAGGAGTACACAGTCTAGTAAGGGAGGCAGACAAGTATTCAACCAATAAATTGTACAGTGTAATAAATGGTATGACAAAGATATGAACAATGTACTACAGCCTCCACTCAGCCCAGGATGATAAGGAAAGATTCCAGGAAGAGATGATAGCTACATAATGTTTAGAGGGATAACCAAGAGCTAACGAGCTAAAGATGGGGAGAGAACACACATACCATGTATGAAATCATGAGGGTAAAAAGAGATCATGGTCAATCTGAAAATGGGAAGAAGTGTGGCATAGCTGAAGTTTAAACTAGTTTGAGAAATGCAACTGAAACAGATACAATTGGGAGGATAAGGAGGGGCTAAATCATGAAGATCCTTAAATGTAAAGCTAAGAAGTTAAAATCTTCAGGCAAGGCTATTAAACAGGGAAGCTTCTACAGATCAAAAGAAATGATCCAGTATGGTATGTCCTCTACGTACAATTAAGTTAGAAACCAGCAATTTTTAAAAAGTTTAAAAATGTTTACAAATTTTAAAAAGTTTCAGTAATTTGTGGAATAAGGAAGAAATTATAATTTTAAAAAGCAACAGAAGTAAAAAATGTTAAATAAATAAATAAATAAATAAATAAATAAATAAATTAAAAAAAAAAAAAAAAGAATTGGAACAGAAGTAAATTGTAACCAAAACATTAAAATCCCAGAATGCAGGCAAAACTGTGTTTGTCAAAAAACACAGACTTTTAAAAACTTACAAAAGACTGAAAATTAATATACTAATTCAAAGAAAATAAAAGGAAGGAAACAAAAGAGCAGAAATAATGAAGCAGAAAACAAAAAAAAATGCTGCAGGATGAGAAAATACCAGGAGTTAGAGTAAAAGATAACCAAGAGAAAAATTGCAAGAGGAAAAAATAATCACCTTTTACAGTGTGGAATTTTTTTCCCCAAAAAGATTCTCAAATCTTGAGAGATTTTATGCAAGTAGATAACTACAAAATGCATATTATAAAATCTAGGAATTTATTCCTCTACATAGTTTTATTTGGAGGAATAGTGAAATCATGGTTTTTCTCCCAAGATCTTTACAAGTCTGGCTCCTTATTACTCAGGTATCTCAAATATCATCTCCTCAGAGAGATCTTCCTTGCCCAACAAATTCTAGGGTATATATACCCTTACACATTTTCTACCAAATCAATCTATTTTGTTTTGATCTAGCACTTATCACTATCTGAAATTATTCTGTGCAGTTATTTGGTTAGTTGTATACTGAGCCATTTCCACTCCACTAGAACAAGAGCTCCCCTCAAAGTAAACACCTTTAACTTGTCTTATAAAATGCTATACCTTAGGGCCTGGCTCATAACAGATTTTAGGTAACTTTTGTTCAATGAATAAACAGCTGAACAGTGAGGACTGAGAAATACATAGAATTCATTCACTCAACAAACATTTATAGAGGTCTTATTACAATGTGAGGCTCTATTCTAGGTAATGGAGCTAAAGTAGTAAACAAAACAGACAAAAATTCTGCCTTCATGTTATGGCAGAAAAAGGAAGTAATAGGATTCAAGTTACACCACTGAGTAATACA